AAATATATATATTTTTTTTAATGATGAGAGCTTTGCTATTAAGATATAATCCGTAATATATTAATGACATACCGCTCAACATTGTAATACTAATTAATTTTTTTTAATAAGACTCGAAACTGTTCACAATAAAAACATTACACATCGCGATATTCATTGTGGTAATTTATTATTTGTCAAATCATATGTGTCAATATATCAATGGCAAATTGGAGATTTAGGATTATCACAACCTGCAAATAGCACATCAAATAATGAAATATATGGAGTAGTTCCCTATATTGCACCAGAAATATTTAATGGTGCTTCATTTTCAAAAGCTTCTGATATTTATAGCATAGCAATGATTATGTGGGAATTTACAACAGGTTGTAAGCCTTTTGCTAATGTTGAACATGATCATAAACTTATTTATGAAGTCATTGATGGAAAACGACCTGAAATTACAGAAGACACTCCTGAATGTTATGCTAATTTAATGAAACGATGTTGGGATTCTGATCCTTCAAAAAGACCCTCCATAATAGAAGTTCGTAGGACTGTTGGTAATTGGTTTCATAAAAAAACAAATAGTGATCAGTTTAATCAAGAAGATATAAAACGGTCAGATCTAATAAAATTAGAAAAACTTGGTCCTAAATTTGCTATAATACATCCTAAAGCAATTTTTACAAGTAGATCATTAGTTTCTTTAATTTCTTGGTCTTGTTCCAAAAGTTCATCTATGAATTTGAAGCAAGGTATGTATTATTTTCACATAAATATATTTTTCGATTAACGCATTAGATAATAAATTCTTATATTTTCCCATTGCTCAGGATATATTTCGAAAGAAAATGAATTTGATATAGATGATCATAGGTATTGCAATTTACTGTACTGTTTCTAGAGAAAAGTTTACTTTATGATAATTATATGTCGACTCCTATTTTAGTTGTCAGTCTTCCAATACTCAGTTTCCAGATGCAATTTATGCTGAACCGTCGTTAATTGCACATAGTAAGTAACATTTTTAGATATGTAAACTTGATAGCCCTTATAAGAGGATCGAATAATGAAGGCATCTCACTATATTTTCTTTGAATTTGATTTAGAATATGTTTTAAAAGAAAATGAATTCGATATTACAAGGTATTGTAATAATATAATAATAAATTTGTCAAACTATTTAAAATATAAATTATCAAATTTTTCACATAACTTTTATTAACATTTTAGCACACATACAATAAATAAAAATTTAACAACTCAAAGGTCTTCTGAAAATCCAAGAAAACGTAACTTTAAAGAATTAGAAGCTAACACTCAAGTTAACAGCAAGTTAATATTATAATCAATGTTTATTACAATATATAAATCAAATAACGACTTTATAATAATTTATTAAAACTGCTGAAATTAGTAAAGATGCAGAAAGATTAATTATAAAAATGATGAATTAATAATATGCAAACAGTCGGTTCACACGAAAATTTCTCGTACAACAGGTAATTATAAAATCAAAAACAAAAATTATTAATTGTTATTACAATTTATTCGTATTCATTTATTCGAAAAAAAAAAAATATCTTAAATCCTGTTTTCTATTTAAATAATATCAAAGTGTTAATTAAGTAGCTTTTAATACAATTGAAACAACTATTTGATACCCTTTACTTGAGTGCTTTATGCAAAATATACAATAAATTTTATTAAACAGTTTTTTTATTGATATAAATAAAAACTATAAATATTTGTATTAAAATTATAAATTTTTTAAATTTTAAAAAATCTATGAATTATAATTTCTAAAACTTTAACCAAGCTAAACATATATAATAGTTTTCGGTTATATTAATAAATATATAAAAAAATATATATATTATAAAGTAAACAAAAAGATTTGTAAAAAATGTAAATAACAAAACCTTTTAAATAAAAAAGTGAAATACTATTTTAACAAGCGAAAAAAAAAATATTTCATTTTCGTTACGCAATATGAAAAATATTGATGATCTACATGTCAAATGATTGATAACACCAACAGATGCAATACAACTTGATATACAAATAACTGCAGGATAAAAAGATAAATTAAGCATGTCAAGCTATGACATTTAAATTTACAATTAACTTGGTAAATGCAAAAGGACAAATTATTTTTCTTGTCGCAGTTGCATCAACAAGGAGTGTCACATTCGTGGACGAATTTTTCGGTAGTGAAAAACCTACTTAACGTCAACATTTGCGCCACAATTAATTGATTTAACCAAATAGATTTTAAAGTTTTCTTTTCCAGGTTAGTTAAATCTTGATAATTCTGGTGGAATACTGACTAGCACAGAAATAAGATGATTGGAATAAAAAAAATTATTTGGGAGCTAAGCTATTAAAATCACCTTATGGGATAAGAGATTAATTTTAAGTAAATGACTCAAAAAATGTTGTCAGTGTAAACATTTTCAACTAATAATTAATTGTTCTAATTTTAAATATTGTTACAATTAAAAGTAATTCCGGCCGAAATCTTCATAATTTCGCTTGAAAATCGTTCTTGATAATTACAGTTAGTCCCTTTGATGATCATTTACCAGGATGTCACGGTGCTAGGATGTTAGGATGCCAGGATGCCACAGCACCAGTTTGTCAAGGTGCCAGTATGACAAATGGTCAAAATGCCAGGCTGGCTTAATTAAAATTCTTTTATATATACGAGCCAAAAATCCTAAAACAGCTCAATATCCTATGCCCGACTTTACCATATTTCTTTGAAAACATTCTCTTCGTAATCTTCCCTTTACACGCGATAATTTCGATTTTTCGCTCTTTTAATTTAATTTCGCATTTTGTAACAATGTTTATTATTTTATTTTTAATTTCCGATTTTATTAGTATTTTATTATTCAATTTTTATGTAACAGTTTCTTAATTTAGAATTTGGCATTTACTTAGTTTAATATATTGATATAACGGAAGTGTAGAGCGCCGTCGTTGAGGCAACACTGATTAATTAGATAATATTAAATAATTATTTGTCAATATTACTTCATTTTTATTCAATAAAAACCTTCTGCTTACATTACAAATTGTTTATAATTACATAAACGAAAGAACTGAATACAAAAATATTGAGTTGAATTAATTAATAAGACGATACTAAAATTGTAATATTTAAAATTTTTTGCTATTAAAAAATACATAAAATTTTATTATTAAAATCACATTAGAAAAATAATTTTGAAATTTAAATAAAGCGTAAAATTATTCATCGCACCGTTCGATGCATCGTCTTTAGGCAAAATTATATAATGCCAGCCAAAATTAAAACATGTGATATTTAACGCAGGGCGTGAAAGAATAAATTTTTTAACTAAAAAAAAAAATTCTGTCCCAGAATACTGTATATATGAAAAATGAAGAAAGGAGGGGAATGACACGGTGACAAAAGAGAGGCGATGATATCGCACGGTGCGATGAATAAATTATTTTTAAATAAAATATTTTATAAAAATGATTTCTAATGAAAAATTGATTTTAAAAAAAGTGAAATTGTATTTTGCGCACCCTGCACAAAATGCACCCCCCATATTTATATATGTTGAAGCGGAGTTAGTATTAGGTTAGGTTAGGGTTAGGGTTATTTTTCACAACGCATCACACCCCTAAGTGTTTCATTTTTACGGTTTATTCTGGGGACTTATAATTTTTTTTTATAGAAAATTTTTATTTGTCACCTATTATTTAATACACCCTACATTTTGTGCAGATGCGTAGAAAATAAAGACTCTTAAAAAAATTATTTTAATTAATTTTTCATTATATTTTTTTTTTAAAGAAAAAAATAAACTATTTTTCAATAAAAAATTTTTACTGGAAATACCTCCAGACTCCCATTCAAACATCCATCCAAATTATTAATAAATATTTTAATTAAAGTTAAAACATTTTAAACAGGTCCGAAACTTTTGAACTTTTTGATCATTTCCAAAATCGAATTTGAAATTTTGACGGCCTAATTAATAAGATAATGAATCAAAATCTCATTTGGAGGGGTCTCGTAATTTCCATTAGTTATTATTTAATTTTTTTTTTTTTGCCACCTTTTGATTCTAACCTTTATCTAATTTTTCCAGTAACCGATATATGGGGGGCAGTCAATAGAAAAGGGGGAAATCTACAAATTTCGAGTAATTTTAGTTATTAAGCTAGTTTTGTTCACATGACCATGATCAGCAAAGTGAACCAGTAAAATATTTTTGACTAAAAAGTGGATTTCCCCCTTTTTCTACTGACCGCCTCCCATATCTGAAATTCCATGATGTTACGTTGCAATTTTCGCTCTTGGCTTATACAAAGATATTGAAAAGTACTCGCATTTTAATTTTATCACATCACCAGAATCGTTAAACATTAATCTGATATAGAATTAATGAATGGTATTAGTCGTTAGTTATGGTTCTTGGAAAAGTTGTGACTCTACCACGTTTGTTTCATGTTTATTCATAGGTACGTTGGATTCGTTGAATGAAGTGGAAAGGATTTAAAAGGAGGAATAACAATGAGATATTCTTGAATTTGGAGAAAAATTTTCAAATAAAAAAAATTTAATTTCGGAACGGCCAAGACTTAAAAAAAAAATAGTAAAAGCTGTTGCGATCACTTTTTATCAAGAGTACTAAATTTATCTCACGTGTTGGAAGTTTGTTAGAATAATTTAAAAAGAGTGTCTCCACTGCTGGATCACGGCAGAGAGAAAAGAAATTTTCTTTTTGAAGCATTTCCAAATTCTGGTCATAATTGATTACATTTTGGCTAGGTCGATATTCAGTCTGATACATAAATGAATTAGTTTTTTATTGATTATTTTCGAGATTTGTACTGCGCAACAACGAAAGAAATTCCTAAGCAGAATGTTTGTGGCTTATTCGAATGTGGCTTATAGAAAAAAATATTTTCAAATAGCTAAGCCAGCATGTTAAAGATTTATTTTCTTCTTCTTGCAGAAATTAGGAAATTGAATAATGTCACAATATACGATAGTAGTATTACAACATGACCAACCACCAAATAACTGGCCATCATTTTACCCAATAATTTATCATAATCTTGAAGATTTCCCAGTAAGAGACAAAACGTTATTGAAAAGAAGTTATATTCTATTCAAACGTACGTTGAATTTTGTGTGATTGCATAAAGAAAGTTTATGATAATAATAATTTGATTATATCATTTAGTATACGTTATAGGATTATTTGTAGATTTATGTGTTGATGTAACAGTTATGATGATGACAGATAGTGCTTCAAGTAGTGAATTAATGGATAGTTTCATCCCCCTGATAACTATCCTATTTGGTGATTTCTTTGGTAGACATTTAAGCCTTTATCTTGCTATCAAGTAAGCAAACGAACGCTCGATTGCCTTTGGTCTCTGCATCTATTCAATACGTACATTAATCGTCTTGTTTTTTTTTTTTATTTTTTTTTTTTTAAAAAACGAATTGGTTAGATTTGATGATGAATCATGTTTTAGATATTTCTTTTTTGGAGAAACAATCGTTATCTTGTTTTATGTAATTATAAGCATGCTGGGAGGAGGTTATGTTGGAACAATTCCGACGATCCTTTATTACTATCAAAATGAATTACATGTTCTCAGTGTTTTAAACATTATAACTTTATTCTTGGTGTTAGTGCTAACAATTTTTCACATTTTTTTCACGGCTCAAGTGAGTGTTTTCAAATTTTGAATATTATTTCTTTATAGATATTAATGTTTCCGTTCTATTATTATAGGTTTATATACTTTTTAAGAGCAAACATTATACTTTATATCCAAGGCTTTAATACTGATATTAAAAGTAGGTATATTGACATGATAATTTATGCATGATTTTCGAAATTTTTTTAATTTATGTACCTTACCTTACTGATTTACCATCTTGGTCAGATGTGCCAACTTGGTCAACAAGACATTTTGAATAACACCTATTGAAAAAAATTTTTTTCTAATAATGCGCCACTAAATTTAATTTTAAGAAAATCCACTACATATCATTCTAATAATAAAAAAAACAAACGATTTTTGTTCTACAGTTCTTTAATATTCAGACCCACTTTTTACTTGATTGGAATTATTAAAATTGAAGAGAATACACCTTATTTAAATAATTTGAGTACGCACGATACGCATCTTACTGAAAAAAATAAAATTAGGATATCAAATTTCAAATAATTTATTTAAAAATTTCCTAATAATTGATTAACAGTTAAAGAAAAACGAACTTTAAATATCATTTGACCATTATTTTCTAACTGGTTTATAGCATTAGAAATATCGTAAAATGTTCGGCTTTCATTTTCTTTTAGTCCATAACCATTCTTAGTTTTTATCTCTCGTTGCTCTAAGGCATAGAGAAAAATATCCTTTTTCCTTCTTTTTAATTGGCTCACAGACCCTTCATCATGCTTTCATGAAGCTATCAGTTCTTGTAAATATTTAATCGAGTTATATTTATATGTTAGTTTTTTATGTGCAATACATGTACTGTACATTGCTTATTATAAGCGTTAAGAACTGTTAAATTTTATTAAATTCTATATTAATAATTAATTCTCTTTAAAAGAGATGCTAATCTTTGGGCAATAACAAATTTGCTTTGACTTGTTAGAATGCTTTTTTGTCATAAACGAAGTTGGACTATAAATATTTATTTAAAACAATAACAAATCTTTTTTTATAAGCATATTATACTAATTATTGAGAATTTATCAGAAAATAAAGGTTCAATATTTATATTTAAATTAGTATCTAACTAAAAATTTACATATTGGTCCTTAATCAAAATTATACAATCATTTACAATAACTAGAAGAACATAAAACAGCAAAAGAAGTATTAAATAAAGTATTATATATTTTTAATACAAAACAATTAATTTGAAATCTATGAAAAAATTTATCATGAAAAAAAACATCCTAAAACTATACCAGAATAAAAGTTTGCATTTATAATTGATGATTTATAACATATCATAAGTCACACATAATACGATATTAATATAAATAGCATTTAAGGACTACATTATTAATATTTAATTTATAGAGTCCAATTTTAATTAATACATAAGTAGGCTAACAATGTCTAAAGTCTCATTAACTTGATTCATTTTTAACGAACTTTATGAAGTAATAATTATAAATGCTACTTTAAATATGTTAATAAAGTCAATGATAAATTAGTTCGAATTTTCTGAAACTATGCAATTATGATAGCAAGGTAACATCAGGCTACAAGTCCCTGTATGCTAATATATTTTCTCAATTTATTTAATGATAAATTGATGATAGTTCACCAAATGTTGAAAATTTATTTTTACTATTTTGCGCTGAACAAACGAAATTCAATTTTTGGTTAGTTTAGTTGCTATAGCATAGTGGTATGTTTTGCTCAATTCTATTTATTCGCATCGGGCGCAGCAAACATATTAATTAAATTTTTTTTTTTTTTGATAATCATGGCGGTGGTGGCTGATCATCCAGTTTGGTAACCGGGTCGGGCCAGATTTGAATTAAATCAGGCAGATCTTTTAGATTTTATCGGTTCCGAGCTTTTGGATCCTCAACTTTTGTAGTAAGTATAACTACCCGTATAACTAAGGCGGAGGTAACAAATCTATGTGGCTTCGAAATCTCTGATCCGAAAGATAAACTTTTTTTCGTTCTTATTCATCTCGTTATATAATCTAAGTTATATATTGTCAATCTCATTCTCATATCTGTTTCTCAACTTTCACATTATTCATTTTCTATACTTTCTCAATTCGCAGTTCTCTGTAATAAAAGATAAGACCAAAAATGTCTCGGAATCACATAAACTTAAACGTCAATGATTCCGTATCTAATTCACATCAGAATTCCATTTCAACTTCACCACAAAATAGTAAACCAATATCTAACGTGGCAATATCACCACAAACAAAATATGTTTTAACATATAGTCAAGAAGATAAATCCTTTCTCGGATGGCATGCTAATACAATTTCAGAACCATTCGATCTTCGTATAGATACCGAGTCATCTAAATGGGGCGGTATTAGTGATTTCAAGGTTTCTGATAACAAGATCATTTTGTATAATTATAATGGTTTAGGTAAGATTTAAATTTAATATATTACTTCTTAAACGAATACAAATTTAGCGCTAATTTATTATACTTTCGTGATTAGCAAAATTTCACGATTTGAGGAATAATAAAGATTTTGAAATTCAAGATGAATATTGTGAATACAGTCATACACATTTTATTAAAAACGGGAATATCTTTACATTTAAGTGCAATAGTAGCACTTCAATAAATCCTTCAGTTTTAGTTTATGAACTTACAAATAAGAATGAATTAGCTCAAAAGGCTTTTAATATTTTCAATGAAAAGGATATAAAATTTGGCGGTTTTATAAGCGATAGGATGTGGATGATGACATATGGTTTAATTTTTCTATTGGATTTAAATACTTTCCAACTTCAAAAATTTTCGCTTTTTGTAAGTAAAGATTCCTTATTATAAGTTTGATATAACAGTATTAATAAATGATTTAATTATGTAGGAAATGAATCTAAATATTGAGAAAGTTAAATTCAAATTCTCAGAAAAGTTAATTATTATGAAAGTTGCTGATGAGCATTATATTTATTCTAAAAACGTAGAACTCATAAATTTTCCAATTGGAAGGATTGTAGATTCTGGTAAGATCTTATATAAATATATTTTTTTTAAACTATAACAATTAAATTTATTTTTGTTTATTAGAATGTCAGGAATTCGAATTCGCCGGAAATAATGATGAATTCATAATTACTTTATCAAATAATAATGTCATTAATATTTATTTTTGGAAATCAAACCTAAAAGGTTCCATTACATTAATGGAATTACTTAATCTTGATTTCATTATTCATACTGAATTTAAAGATCAAGGCTTTTTGTTGTGTCACTTGAAAAGCTTCATTTTTTTAATTTAACAAAGCATGATTGGAGAAATTCCATATTTAAAGATCATATGAATGATTTTAATAATGATAATTTATTTATGGATATTGATCAAAAATATTCTTCAATCCAAGATAAAATGAAGGCTACTGATGAGTATTTAGAAGAAAACATTCCTAAAAAGTTTAAAAAGACTAAAAAGACTTTACGTGATGTTATAAACAAACATTATGATAATAGCGAATTTGATACCTTAGATATTAAATTTATTGCAGATCCATCAGAATATGAATTAAAGCAGCAATGGATTAATTATTTATTAAATACAAAATATTATTTTATATTATATGGAGAACAATTATTTAAATCGGCAATAAAACAAAATAATATATATTTATTAGTTATAATTTTTAACAAAACTATTGAATACTTTAAAGAGAATCCAAAAAGCAATATTTGCATATTATCTATTATAAGCAATAATATTCCATATTTATATGACAAATATAACGAATTTATTTTGAAGTATTATAATGAAGTGAATTTAATTGTAGATCCTTTAAATCGAGAGGTCATTTATGAAAAGGTTGACCATCATTATTCTCTCTGCAAACAATTAGAAATTATTAAACCTTACATATCTTATTTTTACATTTTTTATAAAAAATATAAAGAAATGATCCAATTTTGGGTTCTACCGATTCTTCTATTAATATTTATATATGCTATGAAAATTGAAAAATTTAATTTAATATTTCTAAACCCAATTATATATATCATTCTTATAATAATTTTTATTTATTATAATATAGAAAAATTTTGTTTTAAAAAAAGATATTTAACTTTATTATTCAGAAAATATCTAATATTTTTATCATTTTTATATACAGCCATAATAGTTGTGATAGAAATTTATACTTACACCTTTTACTATTCCTTCTTAATAAACTTTAATAATACATTAATTATTATTGTATATTTTAGATATAAGCATTATCATAACGAAAATAGTAAATTAGCATTTTTTTTATTGTTAATAGCCACTTTAGATTTAATTAATTATCGAGATATATTTAGTTCATTGATGATTATATTTATTTTATATAGAGAACTTGGAGAAAGTTATGTTCAAAAACTAAAATACTTTTTCCGAATCGTTCATATAATCTTAATAATACTTACTTTGTCTATCACGTATATTTCCATTCCGGTTTTTTACTTAATACCTATTATGATAATAGTGTATATACTTCTTGTTAAACGAAGCAAACCTACAAAACCAACCCTTTTATTCTTAATTCCATTTCCATATTACACTTCATATTCTGAATGTTCTAAAATTAAAAAAATTAATAATTTTGAATTGCCTATATGGCTTATATATCTTTTAGATTTTTTAATACCCCAATCCAATCCTTTTATCGAAAACAACAATATTGAATTTTATAAATCTTGGAGTGGCAAAGCTATTATTAATTTTAAATGGAGAGTATATGGAAAATATTATTATTATATAATTTGGTTATTATATACAGTCTTTCTTAGTTGTTTTATAATAGCTTCAAGAATTGATAAAGAGAATAGAAATAGCTTCTTAATAGCGTCTATATTTTTTGGTTGCTTCCATCTTTTGTTTGAAGTTCGTCAATTTTTATGGAATCCTTATAGATGGTTACTAAATTTTTGGAATATAATTGGTATGTAAAAATTACTTTTTATGAGCACATAAATAACAAGCAATAATGTTATTTTTATATAAATTTTTAGACTTAGGCGCTTATCTATTACCTACGTATACATCAATTCTTTGGTACAAAAATGGAGAAATTAATACTTACTTATTGTCAACTTCATGTCTTATACTTGAAATGAAATTTATACTCTTCTTACGAGCATTTGAACCATTTGGGATTTATTTTGCCATTATGCTTGGTGTCGCTCGCAAAATTTATTCATTTCTTTTTATTTTATTACTTATTACATTGAGTTTTGCCCACGCATTTATGATTTTATTAGAACCCACATCTTCATTTTCCGAAAATGATTTAGGAAATTTAACAGATCCTAACAATCCTTGGAATCTTACAGACAAATATTATCTAGTTTCGGATGAGAAAATTTTTTCAAATATAACCTTATTTAAAGCACCTGATGATTATACAAATTTATTTTCAAATTATGCTAACTCTCTTTTAGCAATGAGTTTATTCCTAACCGGTACGTTACTTTAATTTTTGAGTTATTAATATATTTGTCTAAAAATTATAATTTTTATAGGAGATGGAAGTTTATTTAATAAATGGTCACCTAAAGATAATAAAATTATGATTGCTTTAATGCTTTTATATTCATTTATTATTGTTGTGTTCCTTATGAACTTGTTGATTGGATTATTAAATATGGCAATTGAAGCAGATAATGATCGGGTAACTTATTTAGCACAGAAGGCAGAGGTTAGTATATATGTAATCAGCTTAATCTATTTAGACGCTCTATTAATAGTATCCTTTATTAATATAGATTCTTAAAGAAATAGAGTTATTATATTTTCTTCCGAATCAAAAACGATGTTGGAAATCATTGTTTCCTGAATTAATGTAACCATACACTTTTCTTACATAAAACAATTTTTTTATAAATTTTTTAAAAATTAATATTTATATTTTGTAGTTATTACTATGCTGATGTTCATGAAGTAAAGAAATTAATGGATGAAGGAACTATAGACTCCGAAACAAAAGAAATGATTACAAATATAATTAGGATATAATTATACTTTATACTTTATCAATTTTTTATTTTTGTGTTCATATTATTTTTTTATCATTTTCACATTTATTGTTATTTTGAAATATTTATTTTTATTGTTCTTTTTGCTTTAAATGTTAATATTATTTATTTATATGTTATATTATTTGAAATAAAAATTTTGATATACATAGAAAGAGAGGAGAAACTTTATCATTAATTAATATGACATATAAGAACTTACATTAACAATAGATTATAAATTAAGTATTTAAAGAAAAAAAATAAAGATAAATAAAAAATCATTGAAGTTATTGTGTACTATTCTTAATAATTTGTGATTTATGGTTAGGGGTGGGACGGTTCTATCGATTCCATTTCGATTCCTTTCAATAATAAACTTATTAAAAATCCTCTTCTATAGTGACATCATATAACTTGTTTATAATCACACCAAATTATTTTAGTCCCGAGGGATGTGACTATATAGGAGGTCGACTGGTATATTGATAATTTGTTTTAAATCGATGGAAATGTTTTATAATTGAAAATAATGAACTGCCAAGTAAAAAAATTGCGGGTAATTTTTTAAAATGTTTAAAGGATTCATTATTGAGATTTAAACATTCATACTTTTAAATAAAAATGGTTTATTCATTAAATCCTAGATTAATTATTAAATTTTTGATTATAAACGTTCAATTTATCACATAAAATTCTAAAGAATTTTTGACTAAAAAATCTTACCTTTCAAACTTTAAAATTCTATTTTAAAAATATGATATGTCATGGAATTTCTCAATATCTAAATCAAACATTTCATAATGCTAATGAAAATATGTAAAGGATGATAAGAGAATATAAAAATTTATATGATCCAGCATACAGCAAAATTAAAATTAATTCTATTTCAAAGGGTGATGGTGGTAGTGAACAAAAGATGATCATTCGTTTATTGTGTATCACTTAAAATTGCTCATGATGATGAATCACTTGCTTCAGAAATATATATATACATATACTAAAGCAGTTAATTTACCAATATTAGATGCAATCGCTTTACCGTCTAACATCTTTATTATGATGCAATATTCAATAAAATAGAAGAGCAATTTATACAAAGACAAGATAAATTATTTAAGCTTACAAAGAAAATGTTTTTTATTTATTGATTAAATTTAGTACAAATTAAAAATTATCTATTTTTTTAAAAAGAAAAATAAATAAATAAAAATATTGATACATAAATAATTATTTAGTTTGATTAATGTAGGATTCATCTGAAAAAATAATTTTCATATGATCATTATAAAACATTAATAGCAAATAAACAATCGAACTTAATTAGAATTCGCAAAGTTGTTATCAAAACCGTCAAAACTTTCGAGATCCATCAAACCCGTCGAAACTGTCGAAACAAATTCTGAAAAGTTTCGACTTTTGCCAAAATGGGATTAGGGTTTTACCCCGCAACTATAATCTAGTTGATCAAATTTATCCCTCCGTCAATACATGTATGAATATTATTACTTTTTTTTATTTAGAAGCATAAGATATTTTGCTAAACATTTCTGAAATTCTTATAGCATAGAATATATGAATAAGTTATTTTTGAAATAGTTTTTCGAAAATATTTTCTGACATAAAATAGGTTATATCGAGAAAAAGATTTTTTTTTTTTTTTTTTTTGGAATTTGCGCCCTTTTGGATCACTTCTGCAAATATTGAACAATTTTTTTTTTTAGTTTTGTTTTTTTGCTTATATTTTCCTTTTTTGTAGTATATATTTTTTTGTTCTTTTCTGTTTCATGACAGTGGGTTGGTTCGATCTGCAAGCTTATATTTCTTCCAGGCCCAAACGGAGTCGTAAGACAAACGATCAGTTGTTTTAAGATATTTATCAAACTATATTGGAGCTGATCTACCCATCCCTTAATTAGACAAATTAAAACCGTAAATGAATACATTAGAACCTAAAAAACAATGTGACACCTCGCTTTCTTGACAAACAACAAGGAGAACTTAGAGAGTTGTGTATAAAAAGATTTATTTATTATATATTTTTTTTTTGGAAGAAAACGAGCTGTTACATGAAAATAATAATTAGAATGTTTTTGTAAAATTTGGAGCGGATATTAAAGTTATTATTCAATTCACGTCATCGTCATAACTGAATACAGGTGGCTTAGAAATTTAATTAACGTTACATGATTTACCGCGTGCATTTTTTTTTTTTTGCTTTTCTCCATTTACTTCATTACGCTATATATCAACATGCAAACTGCCAACAATTCAAATGAGTGGGTTAATTGGATTGAAGAATCTATCTCAAAAAAAAGTATCAAATACTACGAATATAAACAACTTAGTAATTTTCAAGAGATTGGTATTGGCAGCTTTGGAAAAGTCTATCGTGCAAATTGGAAAAATTCATATCAATATCTCGCATTAAAAACGTTTCATAAATTTGACAATGATACTGTTAAAAAACTTATTCGTGAGGTAATTGTAAAACATAATATGCATTTTCGGTTTATTTCGGCCTATTTAGTATAAATCATTTGTTAAAAATTTATATTCAAATATTTTTAGCTTGAACTTCAACGGGAAGTCGATTTTCATAGCAATATCATTCGCTTTTTGGGAATAACATCATCATCAAACCAAGGTATAAAATCTTAAATAATGCGAAAATATATTAAACATTTGCATTTTATTTTTTAATTCATTTATAAATATTTTTTTTTTTAAAAAAAAAAAAAATTTAGAAAATCAAAATAAGTCATTGAAAAAATATTGGATAGTAATGGAATATGCTGATGGCGGTTCGCTTAAAAATTATTTAAAGGGTAATTTTGACAATCTAGCTTGGGGAGATAAATACAAATTGGCATTCCAGTTGGCTTGTGCTGTATCGTATTTACATAACGAAGGAATTGTGCATCG